TACCATTTATACAGCTGAGTGCAACAACAGCTGACCCGGCAGAAGACTTCGACCAGAACAAATGGCAACGTTTGAATATGTCATAATTTTCAATTACGTAAGTTGTTGAAAAAATCATATATGACATATATTCGCATAGTGAAGAAATAAAGTTTATATATCTGAAAGGTGTTTATAAGGCAAGAGAGAGAGAGAGAGAGAGAGAGAGAGAGAGAGAGAGAGAGTACGTATGATACTAGGCCTAATTCATTGAATAAAACCTTCAAAATCTTCATTAATCCTGTATTATATGTTTGCAAAATCAGTAACTATTTTCTGTCCCATAGCTATAACATTACCGACTGTCAATAAACATTACTGCTAGTCTGTGAAATGTTTCATGATCATGAACAAAATAATATTTACTTTATTGTAATAGCATGATACCGTAAAACCTCTGTTAAACGCCTGGATATATATTATTTTCAGACACTCTTTACCCCCGGCAAATATTCAAGGCCCAGCATTTATAATTATCAATTTTCAACTAAAGATTCGTTTAGACCCATCTTCAGTTTCAAATGTAAACAAATCTCTAAGATGCTTCTGTTTAGCAGGGACAATGTGTTATACGCAGATTAACTACCAAGCATTTATTTGAGATCCAGCGTTTATTGTTTTCAGATACTGTGTACCCTGGCTGTTAATCGAGGAAATACGGTAAGCCATTGCATGGACCTAGTGCATATATTTTTAGCAAGGCAGAGTATTTTTAAGTGTCTGTGACAAAGAATATGACTATTTAAAACACTTTTCCAACACTGAGGAGTTGCTAGTCTGTGAAACAGCAAAATCTATTTGTCTGGCCTCACATAAAGAATATGTTAGTAAATCAATTTATGTTTAAGCAAAAGTCCACTTCTCAAGGCAGCAATATAGAAGGGAGGTAACTCCTCTATACCAGCTGCAGTGTTCGTTCCATCGGCAGACAACTTTTGGCATGAAATGTAACAGTGTTCAAAATAAATTCATTATACTTTTTTGAAATTGCTACCCCACAATAACAATTCTGTTTTGATATTTCATTGTGTTACATCTGATTGAATTGAAACTCCATGGACATGATGAAACTGGAATGAAAAGTGTGAAAAATAAACATTTCATGGACTTGCCATAAACAGCAGAAGCAACTGTTTACTCACTCCTCACACAGAGATCAATCAAAATATCTTAGGGACATAAGATTAACGCAATTGGTTTCTGCATTGTTGAGCCCAGATTTGCTTGATGACAGTCCTTTGTTTGTCTGCACCAACCCATGCTCAGCAGGCCTCCAAGTTGCCACTAAAACGGTCGCCAATTCGACCAAAATTTCAATTTGTCTACTGTCTAAAATTCAGAGGTAGCCAAATGACTACCTTGAAAAATATCTTGTGGCAACTAAATTCTGTTGCTTCACATTTGAAGACACAAAAATAAATAATAGCTGATTGTGGAAAAAATGTCTTGGCTTATTGAACTGAACAAGGTTATGATATGAAAGGAGAGAGAACTTCATGCCAATTATCATATTAAAAAAATATTTTGCATCTAATTTCTAAACCATAGCATATAGCATAAGGACACCTCCAAACAAAACTTGCAATATCTATTTACCCAGAAGGCGACCGCCTCTGTGGCCTAGTGGTAGAGCATCCGCCTGGAGAACGGTTGGTCCGGGGTTCGATCCCCGACTGTGTCACACCAAAAGGCGTTTAAAAGATGGTACTTGTTGTTACCCAGCCTGGTGCACGTCATTAGGTGGCTAAACAAGGACTGGTTGGCTCAGAGTCAGTATGTCACACACACACACACACACACACACACACACACACACACACACACACACACACTTACACACTTGAACGCAACGTTAAAAACCCCATTTCACCTCACCTTACCAAGGCTTTGCGTGGCATTCAACTTATGCATGACATGCATAAATGCTCAGCTTGCTAAATATAAAAACTTTCAGTAGTTGGTACCTCATTTGATCATTGCTTTTAGTCCCTTTATGAAAAAACCCAATAAAAGTAATCCCATATATGATTTACAACGGACAAATGTATCAGAGAAGGTAATTTTTAATCATTAATGCTGCAAAATGGTGCCAAGATCTTGCAAATTCTGTGGTTGGATCTGGAGAGTGCGCAGACTTCTGCCAAGAGCATCCCAGACGTGTTCGATGGGATTGAGGTCGGGAGACCTTGACGGCCAGTCCATGACGTTGACTCCCGCATTCTGAAGGAAATTCCTTGTCAAAATTGTTGTGTGGGGTCTGGCATTGTCGTGTTGGAAGATCAAACCGGGTCCACGTGCTGCCATAAAAAGGCAGAAGTTCTGGTGCCAGTACCTGGTCGCAGTAAGCCGCAGCGTTGAGGTTGCCACGGATAACAAGAAGCCTGGAACGTGCATTGCCACAGAAAGCACCCCACAACATGACACTTCCGCCTCGAAATCTGTCAACTTCCTGTACACAACACTGGGCGTAACGTTCATGACGGCGCCTCCACACCCTCGCCCTACCATCAGCAAATCGAAGATTAAATCGGGATTCATATCAGACGACGACTTGATTCCAATTCCTCTGAGTCCATCTTAAGTGTTGCTGTGCCCACAATTGACGTTGACATCTGTGTAATTGAGTCAGAATCGGCCCGCAGTATCGCCGTCGTGCTTGAAGGTGAGCAGTTCTCAGACGGTTTCGAACAGTTTGTGCACTCAGTTTACCCCTAAACAGTTAATTTCTGGTTGATGTAGCCGTCAAAAATCAGTTACGGAGGTGACGTTAGACAATCTGATGATTCTCTGCATGTGACGTCACACGTGGTCGACCTGGCCGAGGGCCATCAGCGTTGGTACCCGTTTGCTGTAGACGCGTCTGTAAATCATAAACAGTCCGTCAACTACAACCAATCGTCCTTGCGACTTCAGCTACGGACGTTCCCGTCTGCAACATGACGATGGAACGTTCACGTTGCACATTTGAAAGGTGTGGCATGACAAATGGCCGTAAAGACTTTTATTTTCTTGTGTTTTTTCTTTTTTTGTTAATGACTGCTAACAAGTATGGCTGAAAACACATGCGGTATTATGGCCACGTGACCAGTTGCACGTGAAAAAACACTTTTGCCACTATAGTGCTGTGCACATGATTTTGATTGATTCACCTGCACAAAAACGGGTGTAATCTGAAGACAATACGTGGCCATTACTGTTCAAATACACAATAAGGGCCCACAATGATAACTGGTCAAAATGTTAAAATTTTAGGATTGTGAAGTTTTTAATTTGGTTCAGTATACATTGTAAAAATCTGCCACTTTTGGTTTAATTAATCATAAACAAATACAATCTTGGTCGTTACAACATTGATTTAAACAGGTTCCTAACATAAAACATATTCCACATGCAATCATATAATACAGGTAAGTTTGAGAAAACTTACAAATTTTATGTTCGCTTTGGCCTTAACCTCTGGATGTTTGATAATATCAGAATATCTTTTATTATAATGTGTATTTTTCAATCAGAAATACGTCTGCGAAATATTGGTTCATTTGTCCCATGTTTAATGAAGCCTCGACTGTTTGAAATCACCCTCCCTCTTTACAGCGCCTTATGCTTATATTAATCCAGCAGGCAGGGGTAAGAAGTGTGAAAACAATTCAGCAAGCTAAAAGGTTAAAGTCTTGAACAAGTATTATTTAAACCTTCTTTGTTTATCTGATGACCCTAATAATGTTAGGCAGCAGTTATGAATATCCTAATAAATTAAGGGACAAAGGCCCTTAAAATTCTTGACTTTAGAACAGGCCCTTAAATTTCTGGACTCTACAACAGGCCCGTACATTTCTTGACTTTAGAACAGGCCCGTAAATTTCTTGACTTTAGAACCCTTCCTTGTAAAACTCTTAATGAAGTGCAGTGTGCTATCCTCAGATCTTCAGATCCACACTACATCATGTGACTTCCATATATGGTCTTCATGAAGGTGTTTACACCAGCAAGACAATAGTACAATGGTACTGAGCTATTATTCTAAACACTCAACCTTTGACATGTGTCCAATGTTCGAGCAAGTGACACAGTGTAGGCTAATCTGGAAGTCTTCATGTCCTGACCAATAGAGTTATGGAGTTGTTGCGGCCAAGCGGAGTGAGAGATTATTGATTTATTCCCTCCTGGGTGAAGTAAGACCTAATTGTGTGTTGTGAACTGATGCTGCGCCTCAGCTTACAGCTCTCTGCCATACCAGTCAATAGCTTGAGTAAATGTGGGATGGAGACTAAAATGTACATTAAAGGATGAAAATGATGCTCCAGAGAGTTATATAGAATTATGGTATGACAGCTTATTCCAGGAAAATTTGTGCACTCTCTACTGAAATGCTAGAACCCAGACTTTTTCACTTATACTAAGTGTTGAAAGTCTGCTATTAATGGTATCTTTTACTGTCAGTGTCTTGTGTAGAAGCAGTCACTGTTATTAATATGGATCTAAAAAATTATATATATAAAAAAATTGAGATTTTATTTCCCTCTTCCCTGGTGGGTTCTGAATGCAAAAAACCTCTCTGGAAACAACTTTGTTTAATTTTTTCACGAGGTTGCCTTATTGCTAAAACTAATTTTTGCCATTCCTCAGTCATTTTTTTCAGATTGTCATGAATTAGGTACAAGTGTACTTAGTAGTTGGGACCAACATAAACTTGGGCTTGCACGTTTCTCCTTGTGACATCATGTAGTGGTGGTTCATCCTCACTATTTATGCAGAAAATGTTGAATATCGGTACTGACACCAACTTTGCAACAGTAAAAAATTAAGATAATTAAAGAAATGTTTTGTTATGAAAATTATCTCTTTTGTTATCATTTCAAGATCATCTTTTTAGAAATTAACCTGAACCCTGACAAAAAGTAATGTATTTATTATTTTGTCTTCAGCATCTTGACAGTTTGACAAAGATAATGTTATCAAGGATGGACAGGGGTAAAAAACAAGAAAAAGCAGACTTCATGTAGGTTGTTAAACATTGTAAACTGTAGTCAGTACGTCTAAGAAAATATATACATGTATTTAGAAAATGAAACTGTTTGTATTCATGTGATTTGGTATATGATATGTATGTATTCTGAATCATTTAGAGTGAGCATGTTAAGGATGGTTAAAACAGATGACTAAGAATCTATATTGATGTACCAGTATGTAGATTGTTGTAAGTGGTGATTGACTTCTTTCTGGTATCAGTGTTTTCTTTCATGAGAATTATGTTTTCTGATATATGATAGTGGAGCACCACGTAAGCTGTGTATTAGCATAAAGTACACACAATAAATCACAATAACCCAATTTGTTTTGAGTTGTTTGCATACTCTTTATTGTTCAAAACAAAGTGGATTGTTTGGTCGAAGAGGGTTTCAATCTCTATAAATTTTCTTTCAGAATCTTTCTCCATAGATCTGAACTTTAAATGAATGAAAGTGACCATAAGGAATTCTAGTTTTCTTGAAGGTATCACAGTTGGAACTCACCTCACCTGGCCTACACCCTCACCTCTCCTGGCCTAAACCTGCACCTCACCTGGCCTACACCCTCACCTCACCTAGCCTACAACCTCATCTCTCCTACACCCGCATCTCTCCTGGCCTACACCCGCACCTCACCTGGCCTACACCCTCACCTCTCCTGGCCTACACTCTCACCTCACCTGGCCTACATTCTCATCTCTCCTGCCCTACACCCTACCTCACCCGCACCTCACCTGGCCTACACCCTCACCTCTCCTGGCCTACAGCCTCATCTCTCCTGGCCTACACCCGCACCTCTCCTGGCCTACACCCTCACCTCTCCTGGCCTACACCCTCACCTCACCTGGCCTATGACCTCACCTCTCCTGGCCTACACCCTCACCTCACCTGGCCTATGACCTCATCTCTCCTGCCCTACACCCTCACCTCACGTAGCCTTCACCCTCACCCCACCTAGCCTACTCCCTCACCTATCCTGGGGTACACCCTCACCTCTCCTGGCCTATAACCTCACCTCACCTCTCCTGGGCTACACCCTCACCCCACCTGGCCTTCTCCCTCACCTCACCTGGCCTACACCCTCACCTCTCCTGGCCTACAGCCTCATCTCTCCTGGCCTACACCCTCACCTCTCCTGGGCTACACCCACACCCCACCTGGCCTACTCCCTCACCTCACCTGGCCTACACCCTCACCTCTCCTGGCCTACAGCCTCATCTCGCCTGGCCTACACCCTCACCTCTCCTGGCCTACACCCTCACCTCTCCTGGCCTACAGCCTCACCTCACCTGGCCTACACCCTCACCTCTCCTTGGCTACACCCTCACCTCTCCTGCCCCACACCCTCACCCTACCTGGCCTACACCCTCACCTCTCCTGGCCTCGACCTCACCTCTCCTGGCCTACACCCTCACCTCACCTAGCCTACACCCTCACCCCACCTGGCCTACAACCTCACCTCTCCTGCCCTACACCCTCACCTCTCCTGGCGTACACTCTCACCTCTCCTGGCCTACAACCTCACCTCTCCTGGCTTACAGCCTCACCTCTCCTGACCTACAACCTCACCTCTCCTGGCCTACACCCTCATCTCTCCTTGCGTACAACCTCACCTCTCCTGGCCTACACCCTCACCCCACCTGGCCTACAACCTCACCTCTCCTGCCCTACACCCTCACCTCTCCTGGCCTACACTCTCACCTCTTCTGGCCTACAACCTCACCTCTCCTGGCCTACAACCTCACCTCTCCTGTCTTACAGCCTCACCTCTCCTGGCCTACACCCTCACCTCTCCTGGCCTACACCCTCATCTCACCTGGCCTACACTCTCACCTCTCCTGGCCTACAACCTCACCTCTCCTGTCTTACAGCCTCACCTCGCCTGGCCTACACCCTCACCTCTCCTGGCCTACACTCTCACCTCTCCTGGCCTACAACCTCACCTCTCCTGTCTTACAGCCTCACCTCTTCTCACCTACAACCTCACATCTCCTGGCCTATAACCTCACCTCACCTCTTCTGGCCTACAACCTCACATCTCCTGGCCTACACCCTCACCTCTCCTGGCCTACTCCCTCACCTCTCCTGGCCTACACTCTCACCTCACCTGGCCTACACCCTCACCTCTCCTGGCCTACAGCCTCATCTCGCCTGGCCTACACCCTCACCTCTCCTGGCCTACACCCTCACCTCTCCTGGCCTACAGCCTCACCTCACCTGGCCTACACCCTCACCTCTCCTTGGCTACACCCTCACCTCTCCTGCCCCACACCCTCACCCTACCTGGCCTACACCCTCACCTCTCCTGGCCTCGACCTCACCTCTCCTGGCCTACACCCTCACCTCACCTAGCCTACACCCTCACCCCACCTGGCCTACAACCTCACCTCTCCTGCCCTACACCCTCACCTCTCCTGGCGTACACTCTCACCTCTCCTGGCCTACAACCTCACCTCTCCTGGCTTACAGCCTCACCTCTCCTGACCTACAACCTCACCTCTCCTGGCCTACACCCTCATCTCTCCTTGCGTACAACCTCACCTCTCCTGGCCTACACCCTCACCCCACCTGGCCTACAACCTCACCTCTCCTGCCCTACACCCTCACCTCTCCTGGCCTACACTCTCACCTCTTCTGGCCTACAACCTCACCTCTCCTGGCCTACAACCTCACCTCTCCTGTCTTACAGCCTCACCTCTCCTGGCCTACACCCTCACCTCTCCTGGCCTACACCCTCATCTCACCTGGCCTACACTCTCACCTCTCCTGGCCTACAACCTCACCTCTCCTGTCTTACAGCCTCACCTCGCCTGGCCTACACCCTCACCTCTCCTGGCCTACACTCTCACCTCTCCTGGCCTACAACCTCACCTCTCCTGTCTTACAGCCTCACCTCTTCTCACCTACAACCTCACATCTCCTGGCCTATAACCTCACCTCACCTCTTCTGGCCTACAACCTCACATCTCCTGGCCTACACCCTCACCTCTCCTGGCCTACTCCCTCACCTCTCCTGGCCTACACTCTCACCTCTCCTGGCCTACACCCTCACCTCTCCTGGGCTACACCCTTACTTCACCTGGCTTACAACCTCACCTCTTCTGGCCTACACCCGCACCTCACCTGGCCTACACCCTCACCTCACCTGGCCTACACCCTCACCTCTCCTGGCTTACACCCTCACCTCTCCTGGCCTACACCCTCACCTCTCCTGGGCTACACCCTTACCTCTCCTGGGCTACACCCTTACCTCTCCTCGCCTACACTCTCACCTCACATAGCCTACACCCTCACCTCTCCTGGGCTACACCCTCACCTCTCCTGGCCTACACCCTCACCTCTCCTGGGCTACACCCTCACCTCTCCTGGCCTACACCCTCACCTCTCATGGCCTACACCCTCACCTCTCATGGCCAACAACCTCATGTCTCCTGCCCTACACCCTCACCTCTCCTGGCTTACACCCTCACCTCTCCTGGCCTACACCCTCACCTCTCCTGGTTAACACCCTTACCTCTCCTGGCCTACACCCTCACCTCTCCTGGGCTACACCCTCACGTCTCCTGGCTTACACCCTCACCTCTCCTGGCTTAAACCCTCACCTCTCCTGGCCTACACCCCCACCTCTCCTGGCCTACACCCCCACCTCACCTGGCCTACACCCTCACCTCTCCTAGCCTACACCCTCACCTCTCCTAGCCTACACCCTCACCTCTCCTGGGCTACACCCTCACCTCTCCTGGGCTACACCCTCACCACACCTGGCCTACAACCTCATCTCTCCTGGCCTACACCCTCACCTCACCTAGCCTACACCGGCACCTCACCTGGCCTACATCCTCACCTCACCTAGCCTACACCCTCACCTCTCCTGGGCTACACTCTCACCTCTCCTGGGCTACACCCTCACCTCTCCTGGCTTACACCCTCACCTCTCCTGGCCTACACCCTCACCTCTCCTAGCCTACACCCTCACCTCTCCTAGCCTACACCCTCACCTCTCCTGGGCTACACACTCACCTGACCTGGCCTACACCCTCACCTCTCCTGTGCTACACCCTCACCACACCTGGCCTACACCCTCATCTCTCCTGGGCTACACCCTCACCACACCTGGCCTACACCCTCACCTCTCCTGGCCTACACCCTCACCACACCTGGCCTACACCCTCACCTCTCCTGGGCTACACCCTCACCACACCTGGCCTACACCCTCATCTCTCCTGGGCTACACCCTCACCACACCTGGCCTACACCCTCACCTCTCCTGGCGTACACCCTCACCACACCTGGCCTACACCCTCACCTCTCCTGGGCTACACCCTCACCTCTCCTGGGCTACACCCTCACCACACCTGGCCTACAACCTCATCTCTCCTGGCCTACACCCTCACCTCTCACCTCTCAAACTTTTATATTTATTACAATTTATAAAAATGCCACAATTCTGTCAGATCTCTTAATATGATTCAGAACTATTCATGCAATATGTTAAAAAGTCAGAATTATTACAAAACCCAGACAAAAGTATCAGATATGTGATCACAGCAAGAGAAAGTATTTGAACAAAGATTAAAGCAACAGATGCCATATCAGACATTTTCCGCTGATGTAAGGATCAAATCTATACCTGATCTCAGACAATGGCTGGATGATTGATATTATGATGTTTACCTGGGTGGTGGCAATCAGGGTTGTGTTGAATAGCAGCACATTCTGTAAACACTCTCCAGTTGGTCTCTGTGTGCAATCAGGCAATGGACGTCTCTTGGGCATATCTCATTGGGAGAAGCTCCCCTGTGGTCTCAGCCCATACAGTTCTGAACATGGTTCTCAGAAGTAGTGCGTGACAAACTGGCGTAGAGATAATTGCTGAAAAACTATCTGAGAATACCCTTCTCATACTAGAAACATTAGATATTGATTATTGTGGTGTAGAATGGGGTATGGACCCTGTACCTAAGTTAAGTTTTACACCACATTACCTTCGTTATTTTGCTGTGTCAGCTGTATGTTGAAGGAACGCCTAAAATTGTAGCAAGTCATGGGTGGTTACCACTTTGGTGAAACCCCTGGGTTCATGATTAGGGTGACTTGGGATTTAAATAATGATCAGAAGATCCTGGTAAGGTAAGGGACATAACTCTGCACAGTGACCACTTGTCAGTGAAGTAAGAGGACAGTCACCCAAAACAAGAGAGGCTTGGAGTGGGTCATTAAATATTTTCATAAAATTGATGCAATTTGCTTAAATGGAAAAATATCGATTGGGTGAGTCATTGAAAAATCTCAACTTTGATTGTCTCCAGATATCTTTTAAGTTGATGTAGCTTCATGGTCTGGCACAGTCAATATCGGCCTCTGGTCTCATTACTCTACTAATTTAAATTATTGTATGATTTGATTTGAGGAAGATATTCCAATACTTTATAGCTGTAGTTTCAATGAAGACATGGCTACCTTTTATTCTTTCAATGCGACATTTTAGTACAGGTTGATAAGGTACTAGCATCTGTACCAATACGTCACTTCAAAACAAGAACAATGTCGAAATCCAGAATTAAAACTTTTCCTCACAGAAATTCCAATGCCTAAAGAAAAGGAATACCAAATATTGCTGGATGAGTGACAGTGCTCACAGATTCCAGATACCAGCCTTCCAGACACCTGTATCATAGCAACCAGGGCAGATCTGTCAAAATTCCCATAATATCTTACGTTCCATCAATCTATCTCTGTCAATACATATAAAACATTAGTCTGGGATGAAACCTGGCATAGAAGAAAGACTTAAGCAAATGTCACAATGTGATAGGGTGGTTGAGGGTGCAGGAGTAATTTGTGCTCCTGTTTGTCGAGGTAGACAAAACTCCCTTCTCTCCATCATGCTGAGAAATTGAAAATGTCAGTAAACTCTGTGAGCATGTGATGAAAAGAAATGAGAAATATGATCTCCTTGGTAATTGTACATTGACATCATCTTATATTTATCAATTCAACTATGCTTAAATACCAAGTATAATGATAAAGAAAAGTATTGATTGAATATTATTTTTAACTCTGAAAAGCATAACTTAGTATATTTCTTTTTATAACATTTTTGTCCCAAGTGCTTGAAGGCTCTGCTATTAATAAAACTGATAAGTAAACTTTATCACACTTCTGAATCTATTGTGTGTTAGTTCATTGCACACATCAGATTCTCTGTAGCGTCATCAGCCAAACTCAAAATACTTCAGGCATGACTGAACGATATCTGCTAAATCTTTCATTTTACAATTTTCAAACGATCAGAACCAAAGTACAATCAGAAAATATTTTGGTAGAATTATGTTTAGTTTTGCCTGACCATTTCTCTTTTTATATACTTGTTAAAATAGGCCCCCGGCAAGTAAAGAGAAAAAATGGATTGCGATTTAGTTTCAGTTTCTTTGTGAAGCCCATTTTCGGTGTCCTCCACCGTGAAATTGCTTGAATATTGCTAAAAGCGGCGTAAAACCATACTCATTCAAGTTTCCTAGTTGCATGAAGTCAATTTCCGAGAGTAAAACTTTTATAATATTTGTATGAAGTATTTTAATGCCCAAGTGAAAGTGCTGACATCACATACTCTGTAAACGGCTTTAAAAAACAAACCTATTTGGGGACATAGCCTAAAGCTTCGAGTGCATCAGTGCAGCAGTGTGTGACAGATGTTTTCATTGTTTCATTGGCTGGTATATAATCTTGTGATGCTTGCAGTTATACAGGATATGTCAGGATATTTCTGTTAATTATAAAACACATTGCATACATTGATAGGTGGGTGAAATGACCTGTGGTCATGACTCGATCTGTGAATAATTAAAATAACAATATCTGTAACTAGCTTTTTATCACTGACATTCATTTTGGGTACAATAAACCACCTGCTGTTTGGCCCTATTCCACATAATGAATGCCTGTCAGGGATAACTCCCCCATGTAGGGAACCGAGGGCATCTTATGTGTTCTTACTAATAAGGCATAAGGTGTGGACACAGTAATTTAACGGATAAACAGACAGAAAAAAAACCTATTAAATGAGATTAAATATCCAAGGCTTTGGCCCAGACGTTGAGTGCTAAACATCGGGAACCCGTTTTAACCTCAGTGGTAGATGTTTTGGTTTGAATTACATGTAATCTAACCTATCATTGTTTATCTTCTGTTGTACACTATTTCCGTTTTGCAAATTTGATTTTTGTCATACATTTGTGATTAAGTATGCCCTACTTGAAAGCCAAATAAAAATAATTATTATATAATGGGTTATACTGGTATAATAGTTTTTTGGATAGATCCAACAGATAAAAATGGTATCTGTTGGTGTTATTTATGGATAAATATGCAAATTAAAAAGATCATATAGGAATTACTTTCGATGTTTGCAAACAAATATGGCATCACCATTGTCTGTTGATGATCGAATCATTAGTGATCTAGACAAATGACTGGGATAATTGTTATTATCAAAATAATCTAAGATGCCAAAAATTAGTGACTTACAGGGAAATAAATGAGGCATTTTAAAAGTAAAGAGGACATTGGTAATATAAACTGTAAAGCAATTTATCAAGGAAGCTGTGCGAGTTTAAACAGTTTGATTTGGCCAAAATATGTCTGTTGCTTTGATTCTTCTTTTTTTGTTGTGTGGGGCATCTGACTCCTTTCCATAACATTATGACCAGTAATGACCAGGCAGACACTAAACAAACATGACATTGTGTAGACTAGAGTAGCTTCCCTTTGATAAAGGGCAATAACTCCAACCGGCAAATTGATAAATTGGCATGTTTAGTTTTGTTTACTTTTTATATACTTTTTCCCCAAGCCTGATATGTTACATTTAATGTATATTGGATGATACATGTATGGCTTTTTGACAAATAATCAGCTTTAAATGGACAAATATACATTAGATTAGGCCACAGGCCAAAAGACATGTCTTATAATACTTTCGATATGTTATAAATAAAATGTGACTTCCCTTTCTTTAATTCTATGGTAAATAAGATATCTGTTTGTTATAATTGCAATAGATTTTACGACATTTCATACAGATGATAGATACCCCATGAAGCATTTAGCAAATGGATTTACGCTTTTAAAACTTGAAATATGAATTATATCAACTTTGCTAACAGTAATTCTGGAGAGAACCGGAACAACAACTGAACCAGTGCCTGCAAGATATGTTTCATGCTACTGCATTTTCAATTCTTTTTGCTTTTCAAGAAAATATGAAAATACATTATCAAATTGACATTTTAGGCAATTACAGATCAGTTATAATTTTCTTTAAACAATTTGGTGATATAGTAGTTATACCTTCTGATATAATATACTACCCATCAAAAGTTTAGACTCACTGAAACCACTCACTATATCTCGTAAGAAAATCGTATTTGTGAAAGCTACCGATAAAAAATAACAAAATCATTCATTTAGGTCTTCATATCCTTGTTCACAAGGACGTGTGCATTG